CCCGGAGCCGCGCGCCCCAGGCCGCGCTAACTTTGTGGGGTCGCGTCCGCTCGGCTCTGAGCTCTGCCGCGGTGCAGGGCTGCTGCCCCTGAGATGGACGTGACCCGGGCCACCGCAGTCAGACGGTGCTGGAAAGAAACTGAGCCCTGTCAGAGAACCTGACCTGAGGCTATGAGTCACTTCAGAAAAATGCGGAGGCTCGGACGCTTTGAGGGATGGCTCCGAAAATGGTCCCCTTGCAGCCGGCTGGCGACTGCTGTGGGAAGAGGGCTGTCGTGCGAGTGGCCGCGTTTTCATCACTTTTAGGGCTCCTAGTCGGGGTCATGGGAGAGCCCTTATTCTCAAAGAGGCTCAGAGGAGCTGCAAGTTTTAGCCCTATCTGAATCGATACACTCTCCAAAATGAGTAAACACTGGTGCTGCATTCAAGATAGTGAACTAGGATCGAGGTTCAGGCAGCCGGAGTAGAGATGACTTAGACAGAAGGTCAAGGATTTTTGGTGATACAGTCGTGGGAACACAGAAACCAATGGAGCTGTGCACCATAGTTCACCAAAAGAGTTTGCAGAGTCCTATTTCTTTGTTGCTTATCTAGATTTCTTTAATTCTTGGTAAACCACCTAAATCCACTTAATTTAAGATTACAATGTTAGTGTTGTGTTTAGGGGAATTATGGTTACTAGAGTCTATTTAGATTATAAGCCTGCTGAGGGCTAGGAGGGTTTTGCACAGTTTCTACAGCACTACGTAATTAGACTCATCAACTGAATAAACAGTTAAGGTCTGCGAAAATTACTAAATTGGTAGTTTGCCTGAGATCTTGAAGACACAGTATATTTGCAAGGAAAGACTTTTTCTCCATGAAATCTCAAACCTAAAAATGCTCAATGAAATTAGACTCAAGGCATCATATAAATATTTATTAAGGGTACTGTAGAGAGATAGAAGCTATTGTGAGAAATCATGAAGGTAATTACCAAGGTGGTTTTTCTAGTTAGAAGTAGGTTTTTGCTGCTTAACTTTGAAAGAAGTAATTTAACTGGTGATACAGTGTATAGTTTGGTAAACTTTTTGAATTAAAAGCTAACAGGCAATATGTGGGATTTGCAAGGCATGTGGGTTCTTTAATGATGGTTTCATTTTGCTGCTGTAGGTTGAACGCAGCCAAAGTCAATACATAAAGGAATGGTGTGACTGTGTTTCACTTTATTTGTAGATATTGAAGCTTGAGGTCCACATAATTTTCAGCAGGAACAAAATATTTTTCTTCTTCTTTTTAACCAGACATTAAAAATCTATAAAAACCACTCTTCAAGTAGGGAAGGAGGGAAAAATACAAACAAGAAAGGAGAGGGGAGTGGATTTCCTACTCACCCCAAGCAGGTGTTCAGAGAGGATCTTTCCAAAAGGATAATGGACTAGATTCTCTAGGACCCTAAATTATGCCTGCGAGTTAGGTCAAATACTCTCAAGAATAGCATTAGCTTATTTGGGGCATTATATTTTTATTTTGCTTTGAATGTTTTTAACAGTCATCTTTAAGCATAAGTTTTAATCAGTTATGTAATATTTTATACAAAAACATGTTCTGTCTATGTAAGTTTTGAATATTATAATTCAAGTGAACACCTATTGATCCATCACCAGGTTTTAAACTAAGGTTTAAGAACTAGGTAGTTGTAAAAAGATAACTCATAGCATGGGAATAATACTTGAAAATCATGTATTGGGAAGGGACTGGTACCCATAATATATAAAAAAGCATCTCACTAATAAAAAGGTAGCCCAATTTAAAAGTGAGCAAAGGATCTGAATAAATATTTCACCAGTGAAGATATACAGTTGACCAGTAAATCCATGAAAAGATGCCCAATATCAGCGGTCATCAGGGAACTGCAAACCAAAACCACAGTGAGGCCCCTTTTCGCTCTCTCCATCAGGCCTCTAACTAAAAAGTCAGGTCCTAACAAGTGTTGGTGAGAATGTGAAGGAATTGGAAGTTCACACACATTGCAGGAATGTTGCGCTCATTCAGAAAACAGTTTGACAGCTTTTCAGGTAAGCAGCAACCAGTAGTGTTTAGCTAATTAGTGACCTAGTAATTCCATTGTAAGTATATGTTCAAGAGAAACGAAAACATATATCCACACAAAAACCTGTACACAGATGTTTATAACAATACCATTCATAATAGTCGAACAGTGGAAGTAACCCAAGTATCCATCAACTGATGAATGCATAGATAAAACGTGTCATATCCATATAAGGGTATATTATTTGGCCATAAAAAAGAATGAAATGCTGTACCTGCTACACCTTGAATAAAACTTGAAGACATGCTAAGTGAAAGAAGCCAGTCACAAAACACCACATATTGTATGATTCCATTCATATGGAAATATCCAGAATAAGGAAATCTACAGAGACAGAAAGTAGATTAATTGTTGCTTAGGGATGGCGGTTGGAGGCAGATTTGGTAAGGGAGTGATAGATAAAGGATACAGAGTTTGTTTTTGAACTGATGAGAATATTCTGAAATTGTAGTGATAGTTGCACATATCTGTGAATATACAAAAACAGATTGTACACTTTAAAGTGTATGGTATGTGAACTGTAACTCAGTAAAACTGTTAAAGAAAATATACAGGAGGCTGAGGCAAAGAAAAGCTAGATTGTTACTGATCGTGTTGCCTCTTTGTACTCATCCTGTACCTTTCTCTGTGTTCCTCTTAACTCTGGATTTTGTGTAAATCGTTCCCTGGTTTCACTGTAAAACAATTTCATGACATATGTATGAATTCCTAAGCAACATGTTATTTAGGTTGGCATGTTTTTTGATTTCTAGAAAAGGTACGTATAATCTCACTTTCTTGAAATTCAACACTTAAGTTTTTAAGAATTACCCATGTTGTTACATAAAATTGTATAATTTTAAAACAAATACCCAACAATTTATTTAGCTGTTTTTTTGTTGACAGGCATTTGGATTGCTTCCCATGTTTCACTATTACAGAGAGCACTGCTTTAAAGACTTCTTTTCCGTGTATCTTGGCAAGGGTTCTGTGGTGTGAATGTGAATTGCCATGTGTTCTAATAGGAAAAAAATGGATTATTTTTTGAGTTGTACATTGATGATGTATACCTGGCTTTTTCAGTCCTTCAACCCAGGGTAAAGTGACTAAATCTGAGATTCAGACTTCTTACTTACTTAAATTGTAATGGTATTGTCTACTTTTTCGATGTCTTAAGTGTGGAAAACACTAATCTCAAATTCCCAACCTAATTTCACATTATAACCCAATGATTCACAAGTGTCTTTTTTTCTGTTAGATAACATGGGTATAGCATGGGCAGAAGACAACTTTATTTGACCAAATGGCTATTGCTTTAAGTAAGGTATATGAGCAGTGCTAAAGTTCACTAAAATGTCCCTTGTGTTGTATCCCGCTGGGTATTCGGTATTTCTAATATGATTTAGTTTGCTTATTTTGGTAATGATGAGTCAATTGGAAATCTGGCTTTAGCTCTAAGCAGATTCTAGGTTGGCCCTCAGTTCAGGCTCTGAGCTTTGTCACTTCATTTGGGCTGTTTCTACTTGTGCTTCTGAAGGAAGAGGGGAGCATCTTAGGCTCAGAATGAGTTCTTACAAGAAATTTTGTAAATGTGTTTTCATTTTGGTAAGATGTACCTATCATAAAGTGTAGCATCTTAGCCATTTTTTAAGTGTACAATCAAATACATCATTAAGTGACATCAAATATAAGCATCGTGTGGTGCAATCATCAGTACTATCCTTCTGTGGAATTTTTCATCATCCCAAACTCGGTGTCATGAGATAATCACTCCCATGAGTACATACCATTCCACTTTCTGCCTGTATGGATTTATCTTTTCTAGATACCTTATATAAGTAAAATTATGTAACATTTTCCCTTTTGTTACATGAGCTTTTATGTCCAGAGGAATTCTATCTTGTTTGGTGTTTCTCTTTATAGGTCCTTTTCCCCCCTCAAGGAAACTGGCTTATATAACTAAGAAATTATTTAGTAGGTCCCCCTGCCTTCATTGTCTGCCTCCTTCTGTCTACACAGGAAGAAACATAGAAAATTGTCTAAAATCATAGGAAGAACTTTTCTCCATGAATGGGGTCTTCATTTGCCCTATCTAGGAATTAGACATCTTTCTACAGTCCTGACTTCTCATCAGCCACCTGGAGAAGGTAGAGTAGTCTGTACTTCAGATTTCACACTTAACTGATGAATGGGTGCATTAGGTAACTTCCAGGCTCCTGTTAGCCCTTAGCTGCTCAGAATTTAAAGGCTATTCTGCTAAATAAGAGTCTAATTTATTATCTGTGATTTTGATAGGATGGGATATTAAAGCAGGATAAGACTGGGAGACTGAAAATAGAAGTAGGGTGGTCTTCATGGCGGTGCTAAGGAGCAGGCGGGTTCCTGGAGAAGCCAGGTGCTGGAGACATCAGTTGCAACCCTGTAGTACATAGGCAGCATTGGTTGGCTGACTTCTTCACTTCTGCACAGTTGAGTGGAAAAATAACCTCGCTTACTTTGTATCATTTCACATGAAGTTCTGGAGTCCATTGATAATTTATTCATTTCTTCTATGTTGAATGACCATTGTATAACCAGTGTGTATCCCTGGGGTTGCAGAAATGATGATCAGGGAGGGGAGATATAAGGAACAGAAGATGAAAATGAAAAAATGGAAATAAAGTGATTATAAATGGAGAGGGGAGGAGGGGGAGAAGGGAGGACAGGGATAAGGGGAAAAATGAGAACCAAGACCTGTCATGTAAAGGTACAAGATCCCAATGATGAATGTAACTGTACTGTATCCCTAAAATGTACCAATAAACTCAATGAGAAAAAATAAATAATGAACAGAAGATGATATCTAAGCTGTGAATGGAAATCTCCAAAGACCTACTGTAGTGATTGTCCTCCTTATTTCCTACCTTGTTTCTATTTAGGGTTATTCACAGAAGAATTACTGGGATCTTGTAAAATAAATGTATTATTTAACTTTGTGGCAACAAGCAGCCGTCAGATTGGGGCCACACCAAGAAAACTGGCCAATCACATTTTCCAGAATCAGGTTAAACAGGTTTTAAGTGGTGGATGTTTTATTCGGTGTGTTTGTAATGTGCAGTGTAGTTAGGTGGAGGGGGGGATGTCCTTTTACATGATATTACTTTGGAAACTGCTATAGTCTGAGTGTTTATGTCCCACCCAAATTTGTAAGTTGAATAACTCACATCTAATTTACCTGAATTAGAGGATGGGGCCTATGGGCAGTGACTAGGAACCTGCTGGCTGTTAGGGTTCCTGCAGTGGACGCTTCTCCATTTCCCTCCTTCCATCTTCCTTCCGAACAGCCTCTCCCTTCATTAGGACTCCTCTTCTCTGTCCTTCTGAAGGACAGGCAGGTGGCTATCTAATTAAATTTCTATAGTAATTGAATTTTTTTAAAAAAGAAGGTGACTCAAATAGTATAGAATTAAGGGTGTTTCTTAGTGCATTTGTTGTTCCGAAAGTATGTACGGCTAGGTTATCAACAGAAGAGATTTGTTTTGGCCCACGGTGCTGGAGACTGGGAAGTTCGAGATCAGGTCTCTGCATCTGGTGAGGCCTTGTGCTATGTCATCTAAGGTAGAGAAATGGAAAGGGAAAGGACCATGTGCATGAAGGTTTATAACATGTCTGGTTTATAACAGCCTGCTCTGAAGAGAGCTAGTAAGTCAGTCCCTAGAGTCCCACAGCTTCCTATACCTAACCCAGTCTGGAGAGCACTGACCCAATTAATACCTCTCAGTAAAAATAGTTATCTGTTCGTGATTGGAGTACTATCCAGTGATGTAATCACCTTCCCAACATTGCTGCTTTTAGGTTGTAAGTTAGAGTGTGAGTTTTGGCAAAGACAAATCACATAGAAACCATAGCAAAGTGAAACTCATTTTTGTGCTTCTTTCCGTGGTTCAGCAATCTTCAGGCTGTGTACATTTACCATATGCAAAGACTTCCCCAAGGTGCACCTGCAGAAGTGTTGTGAGAAGATCAATTTCAAAATCCTCATCTTCTGCATGTGCTTTTTTCCTTTAACTGGTCTTCTTCAGAGTGGCTCTGTAACAGAGGTGCAGTTTCTCTTTTTCAGCTCCTCTCCTGTAACACCTTTCTCTCATTTTGTGTATGGATAGCCCATGTCTAAGCCACCTTACTAAAAATTATATCTGACCCTTTCTAGTACATTGTTTTGCCTTGCCTAAGGATGTAAAAACCCAAGGGATAAGGAGAGCAAAAGGGGACTTTTCAGAACACTAGTTTAGCTTTAGGAGGGAGGTGGTGAATGACTCCAGTGCTTAGGCAGAAATCTTTCTGCAAATCAAGTGTTTTCTGAATCTTTAATAGGGGAAGATTAGCTATCAACCTAATCAAATAAGCTGATGTTAAAGGATAGGCTTTAAAAGAGGATAAAATCATAAGTGTAATACAAACAAAAGGGAGCATTTAAAAAGTTATTTTAAGAATGAGAAAACCAGAAAGTCCTTATAATCAGTTCAAAGAAGACCAATTATAACAAAACCGAGATGAATTTCTTTAATAGATACAAAAACTAGCTTTTTCCGTGGTGAGAGGGGAAAGTCAGTTGAACTTCCGTAGGATAAGGTTGGTTGGTTTGCATGTCTACAGACAGTAATTATTGGCCTTACTATCAGGTTTTCCCAAGTTAATTTCTATCTCTACAGAGCTGTAAAATAAACCGTCAAAGACTGAATGACTGAGACAACCCAGATGGTGCAGTTAGTATACTAAGTTTGTATTACTCAGTTTATCCTTACCCTGCTATTTAACATAAACATCCCACTGTGGGATATTTAGCATGTAACTCAGAAGGAGTTCATAAACATGACATGACATTTGCATAACAAAATTTTCATACGTTTCCATCACCTTATTTGTGCTTCCCACCATTACACTGATTAAAAAGTTCAAATCAGTTGATCCTCAACCTTGACACATTTTAGTAATAAATACATTTAT